AAACCAACTAAAGTCCTCCAAAACATCTTAAGCAAACCAAAAGACCCAGTAGCCCAAGGAGAAAAAACAGGAGTCATCTAACAACATACAGCGTAAGAACTGCAACAAACACTATGTAGGACAGACAGGCAGAAGGCTGGCAGAACGCATCCATGAACACCAACTAGCAGTCAGAAGACATGATGAAAGCGCCTTAATCTCACAACACATGGACAGACTTAACCATAGCTTTAACTGGGAAACTGTCAGCATCTTAAACCAAGCTAAATCCAAAAATGCGAGGGAATTCTTGTAAGCTTGGTATTCAGACAACGCAGCCATCAACAGGCACACAGAGATAAGCAGCATCTACACACTATTCAAAAGAGACAACAGAAAAGAAAACAGAAGACCAGAATATCTCCTCACCAGCAATCATTACCCAGATAAGCAGAGATTACCACCAGGCACACAATCAAGCAGTAAACAATACCCTAATCAAGGAATTACCAGAGGAACAACACAAAACCCCCACCCCCACCAACACTGGCAGGGCATGCCACAGTAAACCCCATCCTATTCTAGCACTGAAGAGCAAACCCCATCCCATTCTAGCACTGAAGATGTTACCTAGCTGGGTAATAAAACATTTGCAAGAAAAGAACCAAGCTCAGAGAACCCCCAGGACTCCACAAATAAATACATATTTATTAACACACTAAATAGTGTAGCATATAAGGTTTCATTTTGATAAATTAATTTAAAAAATAATCCTTAAATAACAGAGGCAAACCTATTTTAACAGAAAAGTTGACTGTTTTGGGAAATTACAAAACATCATAATACCTATAAATATTGTTTACAATTACTAAAATTAAGAGCAAAAGACATAAAAGAACCACATAATTGAAACAAAAAGTTCTTTATTAATCCTCTAATTCCTAGGCAGGTAGTATCCTTGAGTGACTCTTTTCTTCATTTCCAAGGACAAAACAGATTTTTGATCTTTTACCAGTTGCCATTTATTAAAAGTATATTAATTTGATTTAAGAAATCTGTGAGTATAGTGGCACACTCTTGGGGAAATACAGCAATAGATTTCCTTGGAATCAATCCAGTTTAAGGTGATGAAAATAGTTTTTGTCATAGTGGATAAAACTCTGAGTTATGTGAAGCAAATTCAACTGGGATAGAATGAAGGGTTGCAAAGGAATTAATTGTGATAAAGTCAATGCATTCCATCAACCTCCAGATAACTCTGGATCCAGTTTGGCTCCCTTGGATTTTAATTAATTGATATATGTGTATGTCTGATGAAACGTTGAGGGATAATAAATATTGTTAGATGTTGATATTATTACCAAACATTTCATAACATTTTAGAAAAGAATGCCAATATTTCATGAGCTTTGGCTGTTTCACAAGTTTTCAGCTTTCTTTTTCTTTCTTTCTTTCTTTCTTTCTTTCTTTCTTTCTTTCTTTCTTTCTTTCTTTCTTTATTTATTTATTTATTTATTTATTTAAATAAACAACGCCTAATGCCTGACTAGTAGATGTTCCTTTGGACTTAAATAACATATTTTCCCCCCTTAAAGCTACAGTACAGGTAGTAAAATTGGCTGACAAATTCCAGCCCCAGTTTTCATCAGACTTTAAACTTATTTTTCAATTTTTTCTAATTCTAAATTTTTCTACTTCAACTTTCAGATCAATCTGTACAGCTGTTTGATCTATAAACTATAACAATCACCTTCCCCCCCTTCACCAACCTTCAGCATTATCTGTTTGTAACGAAAGAACCCCATTCATCTGTTTTGTCATTTTGTCCCTGTAATTCCATTATTTAAGTACATTAGATAATTGCATGATTTTGAAGAGTTTTCATCAATTTCAATTTCATCAATCAATTTCTCGCAAAATATGAAGACAATATTTTCCAACTAACCATGATAAAGCCTATAATCCTAAATGGATATGGACAGCAATTTTATACATGTTTACTTAAAAATAGGTTTTATGTACAATAGGAATTAGATAACTGTTTACATGCAAGGAAGCCCAATTGAACATTGTAGGATCTTCAAGAAAACATGCAAAAGATACATTGTTAGGAAGTAAAAGGTCACTGGGATTACCTTTTTTGCAGACCTGTTTAAAATCATTGTTCAAAAGTGAACAAACATGATTAAAACCCAGATCGTTATATACAGAGGGTTGGAAATGAAAGCTATGTAGGCATAGAACATCAGAAAATCTTATTTGCACAATACCATACATCCAGATCTTCAGA